AACTCAAGGATTTTAGTGTGATTAGATTAGAACTTTATAGTCTCTATATCAATATTTAATATTTCACATATTTCTTGAGCTAATTCATGTGAAAAAGAACCAAGTGGACCAAGTACATAAAAAGTAGAAATTTGTTTTTGTGTAATAAATTCATGATTATATTTAAGTGAATTATGTAACTTTGGAATAAAACGGTTCATAAAATATTCTGTTAAACTAACAATGTTTTCTGAAAAGCTTTTTCGAGATCCTCCAACTTCTACAAAAAATTAAACATTTGACAACAAGAGTTAACAGATGATTGATTATACAATGAGCTCCAAATGAAGCTCAAGGGTGGTAGGCTACAGCGTCAGGCATAACTTGACTCAACAGCTTGAGCAAGATATTTCTCACCTCATTCACATCTCTGTTAATGATCAACCCACATTCATCACATTTAAATTTCCTAAATTGTTCTTAACATATCCATATCATTGACATGTCTTATAGATGTATTCCTCGGTACAAATTATCAATCTTTTGCCAGGACATTGCTCGTCTTGTGTAATAAGAATTGTCAGAATCGAAAATGACACCACATTAATATATTACGCATAGTTTTCATTCTGATTTTTCGTTTTTCTGGGCTTACCATTTCTTGGGTTTTGAAAATTGGTGAAACGATAGTTGTCACATAGATATCTTGTTATTTTCTTATGACAATCATCAATCAAATTATGAATCTTGTGATAAATTCGTGGCATCTTTCTTTTGATCACATAACATTGTTTTAAATTCACCTCAGTTGATTGACTTCCTTGATAACTCCTTCGATGCATCAAGATTCTCTCTGAGATGATTTGTGTATAACAGATCTTTTCCTTTTGTGCTCATGATCTCCGAAATGTTTTTAATATGAAAATCGAATTCAATGGATTTCGGGTCACATCACTACTTCAATGAGGTAGAATTGTTTGCTGTTTGGTGTGGATAAATGTTTAATCTTTCCTTTATCTGACTATTTTCGTAACGTACTGATTCTGACTCCATACATTTTTGAAATTTTACCAGTGAGAAGATACATTTGTGGATTTGATCATTGACAGGGGTGGAAATCATAAACGTTTACTCACCAATCATCGCATGAATTTACGAATAAACAAAAAAAGACAATGTTAGAAAGTTCTGATAAGTTCTATCATAATATAACAAAAATTACATACCTGTAAAAGAATTTATATTATATTTAATAAACCACTGGATTAAATCATCACATGATCCAATATCACAAAGGTTAATTTTATAGAAATGTCATCGTAATTTTGTTGCACACAATTCAGTGTAAATTGTACCAGGATCCATAATATCATTTTTAGTAAATACTATTACACCTTTGGAAAATTTCACATTTAATTTTGTTCTCTGTTTGTTTGAAAGTCTATTCAAATTAATAGCCAGACAATTAGAATTAATTCTTCCTTTTTCATTTGAATGATTATTAGGACAAAATCCCATAAGTATAATTTTAATATTTTTGGTGACGTATAGTTTAATTCTTATTAAATCTCCATTAGAATCATAATCTATTTCT